AGGGACGCCATCGCCGCCGGGACACGCCCCGCTCCTGGCCACGCCCCCAGGCCCCGCCCCGCTCCCCGCCCCGCCTCCCTCGCGTCCTTGCCCCGCCCCTTCGCCCGCCCCGGGTCCCTGTGCCGCTCCGCCGGCCTGCCCCCGCCCTCCGGGAGCCCCGTGGGGTGGGGACGGGGAAAGGGGGGACGAGGGCTCATTCCCCGGGGGCCGCTGGGGTGATACGCGTGTAGGGGTACAGCGTCACCCGGGACACAGCCCCACGCACCCACCCGCAGCGCAGTCCCCTCCACGACATAGCTCCCCCCACGCAGCCACTCGGGACAGGGCCCCCGCACACTCCCGACACAGCCCCACGCATATGCACCCACCCGGACACGGCTGACCCCCACGCACACACTCGTTTCACCTCCCCACGCGTGCACCCGACCCCAGACGCAGCCCTACGTACGCACCCACCCGCAAAACCGCCCCCATGTACATGCACGCTCAGGACGCAGCTCCACGCATGCACCCACGGGGACGCGGGCTGACCCACACACACCCCCCCAGGACACGGCCCCCATGCAAGCACTCACCGGTGTACAGCTGGCCCACACACTCGGGACACAGTCCTACACACACTCCCCTGTGACACTGCCCCACACATGTGTACACTCAGGACACAGCCTCACGCGTGCACCCACGCGGGACACAGACCCCCCCACACAACGCACACACTCAGAACATGGCCCCACGCACACACCCAGAACACAGCCCCACGCACACACTCAGAACACGGCCCCACGCATACACACAGCCTCCGACATGCACCCACCCGGGACACAGTCCTGGACACAGTCACAGCCCCCGACCCAGGCACCCCCTGGGGTCTTGGATCTGAGCAAAAGAGGGGTCCCACGGGGACCAGCCCTGGTGCAGGGAGGGGGTCCCCCACTCCCCAGCCACCGCCTCCCGGTCCTGGTAGTGGGGCTGGAGCTGAGGGATATGCCTGTGGGCCAGGAGCCACCACAGCACTGCTGTCTCCCTCTGTCCCCAAAAGCCACATCCTCCCCGTGGTGGGACGAGGGCAGGGGCTCTGGGCCCCCTCCCTGCGAGTGGACACCCCTTCCCCTCATTAGAGCATCGCTAATGAGCGCAGGAGCGGCTGTCAGCTCCCATCGGCCGCGGCCTGGCCGAGTGGCAGACGGGGGCGCGGGCACAGCTGAGCCCCTCCTCGGGCACCACGGCCCCTTCTGCGGGTGACAGCGGGTGACAGCCACTGTGCCCCAACACTGCCCCCGTGACAGGGGCTGGGCTGGGATGGGGGGGGCAATGGGGGCGGTGGTGGGCGGATAGAGGGGCAGATGGATGGACAGAGGGATGGAGAGAACCAAGGGGTGGGCAGATGGAGGTGTGGATGGATGGAGAAGACGGAGGTGTGGATAGATAAAAAGGATACAGGGGTGAATGGCTGAGTGAATGGATGCAGAAGACAGGCAGGTGGATGGACATTGATGGAAGGAAGGAAGGAAGGAAGGAAGGAAGGAAGGTGGAAAGGCAGACGGATGGAGAGGGTGGTGGAAATGATGGCTGAGCAGGTGGATGGAGGGACAGATGGAGAAGGCGGAGGTGCAGATGGATGAAGAGGATGGATGGATGGACGGATGGATGGATGGGGAAGATAGAAGGGCAGAGGGATGGAGAGGTTGATGGGGTGGCTGGGGAGGATGGAGAGCTAGAATGCTGAGCAGATGGATAGATGGATGGAGAAGATGGAGGAGCAGATGGAGAAGGCAGAGCGGCAGATGGATGAAGAGGAGGGAGGAAGGGAAGGAGGGAGAAGATAGAAGGGCAGAGGGATAGAGAGGATGATGGGATGGACAGAGAGGATGGAGAGGTGGATGGCTGAGCAGATGGATGGATGGGCATTTCAGAATGAAAGAGGAGGAAGATGGAGCAGGCAGGAAGAGGTGAGGAAGGGGGTGTCACGAGATGGGGATAACGGAACAGTGCCTGGCTGGGTGAAAGAGGTGGCCAAGCACAGGCAGGGCACTGGTTCCAGCCTGGCAGGACAGACCAGTCCATCCCACGCATGCACCAGCAACATTGCTGCTACCGCCGGGGGTTGCCTGGTCCTGGGGTGCAGGATGGGGACACCAGCAGAGCACCCAGCCCGGGACTGGGGTCAGCTCCCCCCACCCCTCAGCTCCAGCCCTTAAGGGGCTCCCCTGCACCATGGGGCACAGAGTGAACCATGAAGACACCTGGGGCTGGGGAGTCTCCCATGACCCCAGGGTGCTGGGGAGGGACCTGTCGGGATGGGAACCGTGGCCACCCTGCTCTGCATGGCTTGGGAGATGCTCGGGAGCACCCCTGTCCTCCCCAAGCATTTTTCAGAGTGGGAAAACCCAGGGAGCTGTGGCTGGGACTCCCCAAGGCCAATGCTGGGTGCAGGGTCCACAAAAGGCATAGGGGAGCTCCCCAAAAGTCCCCAGCAACCACAAGGATGGGGTGGAGAGGAGTGGCAGGGGAAGGGTTAAGCTGAAGTGTGTGTATGTGTGTGTATGTGTGTGTATGTGTGTGTGTGTGTGTGCAGCCCTTGAGCCCACCGCCCTTGTGCCCTCATTAAGTCCTGGTGGCACCAGGCTGTCTGGGGACAGCAGGGACAGGGGAAAGGGACAAGACCGCTGCCTTTGTCTCAACTTATGGCAAAGTTTGAGCGGAGCAGCAGCGGCTGCCGACGGGGCCCGGAGCTGTGGGTGAGTCCGTGGGGCAGTGGCGGGTGTCCCACGAGGCCCGTGGGGTGGGACAGCAATGTCCCTGTGTGGGCTGGATGCCACTCTCGGTGACTGGGAGCTGGTGGGGTGATGCTGGGAGCACCCCAACTGCATCCCCTCACCCCACTCAGGGAACGGGGGCTGGAGGGCAGCGGTTTCCAGGACCTCCTGACCCTGTCCCCAAGCCTGTCCCCTACCTGAGTGGCAGTGGCTCCCCACATTTCGGATCCAACCAGGGCAAGAGGTGGCACTGGCCGACCAAAGCCTGGGCAGATGGGAGGTGTAAGACACCCCAGCACGGGGTAAGATACTGCGATTTGGGGTTTGCGGGCAAACAGGCAGCAAATCACCTCGGTGCCTCCACCGCACCCCTCCGCAGACTCCCCAGAAGTGGGGCGCAGGAGCCAGGATTGCTCCAGGGGACACCCTGATCCTGCTGGACCCCAGGAACCCCTGGGCGGCTGCGGCTCTGGCCTTGAAGCCACCGTGGGTCTGTGGGTCCAAACGTGGGGAGGGCGAGCAAGGGCACCGGGGCGGAGAGAGGACATCAGCGTGTGGGGACGTGGGCTGAGCCCTCCTTCGTTAGCTCGGGCTCAGCCCTGCTTCGTTAGCTCGCCCGAGCCCTGCTTCCTCAGCTCGAGCATCCCCTGGGTGATGGGGTCGCCCACCGACATGCAGGACCCAGCTCGGGAGGCAGAGGAGGGAGAGGGGTGGGAGGAAGGCCCCGCCATGGTGGCCGGGAGTGGTTTTATTCTGCTCTGCCGCCCTCGGCGCCGACGTGGAAGCACCGATCTTGGAGGGGCTGAGACCCGTACCGCTGCCGGTGGGTTGGGAAACGGGCCGTGGCAGTGGGCGGGCTGGGTGCCGTGCTGAGCTGGGGACCGGAGGCGACACCAGGTCCATCCTGGGGACACCTTGCATGGAGGAAGACGCTGGTGAGAAGTGAAGTGGGGTTTGGGGCGGCTGTGGGACGGGGTCGGTGGCTGCCCAGCTCCGGGGGGCTGCAGAGGGGCTGGATTGGGACCAGCGCTTGGGACCAGATTTGGGGTGACCTGGGAGTGCTCACCCCCAGCAGCCAAGTCCTCAAACCTGTCCCCATCCCGGCGTGGCGGTCCTGGAGCTGCGGTGCCTCCCAGTCTGATCTGGCATGGCATGGGGCCACCTCTGTGCCACCGGCACCAGGAGCAGCGGGACAAGGCACCAGCCAGGAGAGCTCTGGAGAGCAGAACTGTGGACACGCAGGTGAAGCGGGCCCTGTCCGTCTGTCCTTCCTCACACCCATCTGCCTTCCTCCAGCTCTGTGACCCCTCTCCATGCCCAGAGATTGCATCTTTGCGGTAGGTACTGTATTGTCCCACTGCCCATTCCCATAGCGTCCATCCGTCCGTCCATCCACCCTCCCATCCATCCTCCCAACCATCCTCCCATCCATCCTCCCATCCTCCCATTCCTCCATTCTTTCATCCATCCATCCACCCTCCCATCCATCCTCCCAACCATCCTCCCATCCATCCTTCCATCCTTCCATCCTCCCATCCTCCCATTCATCCGTTCTTTCATCCATCCATCCATCCATCCATCCATCT